AAGGAGGCATTCTGGCATTAACCCCACTTAGGGAGGTGATTCCATTACATAGAGCAGATACAGAGTTCAAAGTAGCTCTGCTAAAATTTGATGCTCCATTCTGTTTATAAACTGGTCATTTCTATATCACCCACTACTCTGTTTTAGAGAAGTTTATATACTCTTTCTAGTCCCATCTGTTCTTATTTCAATATAAGCTAAACCTAGCTGTCCTACGCCCAGAAGTCCAAATTCACCTCTTTTCATTCTGACCCCTTGAAATAGAAGCTCTCACCTTTATGGTCTATCTAATGTTATGGCTTCTTGTTTTAAGTCTCTTTTCAGGGCTCAAGAGTGAGTGCTTCTCAGTGTCCATTTTTGTTCCTCTCCAAATCCAGTCTTGGTGACCCCCACTCTGCTTTCCTCACAGAGGAGTCACTCCTTTGAATGCTATTCTCAGCTTTTTCTTGGACTATTTCCATTCGTGTGAAACTATCCTCCTAAAGAGTAAAATGATATACTTATGCCCAGTTGAGTGGCTTGGTTGGTTAAGCATCGTGCCATACACCAAAAGGTGGCAGGTTTAATTCCTGGTCAGGGCATCTGCCTGGAATGCGGATTCGATCCCCAGTCAGGGTTCATGTAGAAGGCAGCCAATGTTTCTCTACCCCCTCCCCTTCCTCTCTTTTAGCATGTCCTTGGGTGAGGATTTAAAAAAAAATTATATATTTACTAGACCAACGACTTACTTTTGCATCTCTGCTGAAATTTCTCTCCTCTCAGCTTTATTCAAATTGTTTTCAATTAGTTTTCATGTTTTCCTCTATTCTTTTCTTTATTTATTTTTTAATTGATTTTAGAGGGAGGAAGGCAGGAGAGAGAGAGAGAGAGAGAGAGAGAGAAACATCAATCGATTGCCTCCCAAACACACCCCAAGCAAGTTGGAACCCACAATCTATGCATGTGCCTTGACCAGGAATTGAACCTGCCACTTTTTGGTGTATGAGACAATGATGACGCTCCATCCAACTGAGCCACACCCACCAGGGCTATCTATTCTTTTTAAAAATACATTTTATTGAAATTTAAACAGAGAGGAAGGGAGAGAAAGAGAAACATCAACTTGAGAGCAGAACATTGATCAACTGTCTTCTGTACACCCTCTACTGGGGATTGAGCCCACAACTCAGGCATGTGTTCTGACTGGAAATCAAAACACCAACCTTTCACCTTTTGGTGCATGGGATGATGCCTGGCCAACTGAAGCATATTCTTTTTTAAATGCAGTTTCCAGAACCTAAATCTATCTATTAAATATTTCCTTTCTCAGAAAATTTTCTCATGTTCTCCTTAAATTGTAACATTCCAGTTCAGTACACTAAGTGGCCTTTTTTGTTAGTGTGGCCTATTAAAAGTCTCTACTCAAAAAATGTTTAAGTGTGGTCTGAGGCAACAAGCCTCAGTATCACCTGAGGTGTAGGTTAAACAGGTAGACTCTGGGACTGGGTAAGATTTCAGAGTGTGACCTTCTGGGGGTGGGCTATCAGAATAGATGTAATTTTGCCACACCCCTGGTGATTTTTGTTCATGGTAACATTTGAGAATTTTGCCAAGAGAACTTTATGACATTGATAAATTACAATCCTAGTGTAGTGTTCAACCATTTTCTTCTTGCTCTTTATCTTTCTACTTATTATTTTTCCCTTTCCCACTTCCTCTTATGCTTTCCTTAAACTTAAACTTCGCTGAGAACCTTGGCATGAGTTGGAGCCAGTTGACATTACCCATGCATCAAAATAAACACACATTTGGACCAAGGATTCTCCCTCTCCTGCAGAAGGTGCTCTGAGGCTGTGGGCTTTGCCAGGGACTATGATGTCATGGCCAGATCCCACCCTGTGGGGCCAAGGGAACTCTTTGCTGCTGTGCATCAGAACCTATTGCTGGAAAAGCCTCATCCCCTGCTGATCTTGCCATGGACACCAGGCTTCTCTGCTGGGTGACCCTCTGTCACCTGGGGGCGGGAGAGCTGGGAAGTGCATGGGAATTTGAATAGAAGATGTTTTCCTTGGGCTACCCTTCACTCTCTGTGGCTTCTCTCTTCTCCAACCCTGAAGCAGCCAGACTCCCAGCTACAACATCACAAAGATGGGACAGGGGGTGATTCTGAGATGTGACCCAATTTCTAGTTACATATTTGTTTACTGGTATCGACAAAATCTCAGGCAGGAAATGAAATTTCTGATTTCCTCCCAATAACAAAACATTGGGATGCCCAAGGAATGATTCTCAATTAAAAGACAAAATGGAAGCTATTACACCCTGAAGGTCCAGGCCACAGAGCTGGGAGGCTCAGCTCTCTATCTCTGTGCTTCGGTGGTGCTGGCACAGGGAGGCTGTCAGTCCTCTCCGGGGCTCAACCTTGCTGGCCGGCTTCTTCCTCTTCCCAAACTCCAGGAAGGCACTTGAAAGGATCCCTTCCTCATCTTCTTGCCTCAGAAGGAAGAACCAGGTTGACTGAGGCATCTCCGGCTGCTACCAGGAGAGAGCAAGACGGTAACTTATCCCTTCAATGATGGTGGTGGGCAGGCTTCTGGGCTTCTCAAATTCCTACAGAATAATGCAGAATCGGGCAGTCTGTGGGTTCCAAGTTTATCAATACAGCCTCCCAATAAAAAATGTTCAAGAACGGAGACCAGATATCTGAGGTTGACATGACCAAAACACTGAGAATTTCCTACTGATTTTATCTCAAACACATCCCCCTGCAGTCTCGCCTCATCGATGTACCCCACAGATGTCCACAGATGCGCTGAGTTTTCTGTGGAACAACAGAATGCTGACTACAGGTGTGTTACATCCTTTTCCCACAGGGGTGCCTCCTCACAAGACTGCCACTCCCTCAGGGCAGTGACTAAATGGGAATAACTGTGGGAGTGCAGATACCACAAACCTCTCAAAGGGGAGGGGAAGGGGAAGAAAGAAAAAACACTGGTAAATGACCTTCACTCCAGGATTATTCCAGGAAATTCAAACCTCAGATCCTCGCACAGTTGCCCAAGGAGCATGGACTTTTATTCCATAAATTCGAACACTCAGCTGCTTCAGGGCCACAGACACTGGAATTGAAGTCAGGAAACCTGCTTCCTAATCAACTTTGAATTTTTTTAACTTTATTTTTTTAGCTGTAAGACAAGTGCTCTCAGCTCTCTGGGACTCGGTGTTTCTCCTTTTTAAAATATGAGACTTGCACTATTTGGTCTCTAAGGTCCAACATGACTATTCTCAGGATAGAGCTCTGTTTTTCCCGCGTGACCATCAGGAATTGCTGTGGAAGGCATGCCACGACCATCTGGCAATAACTGAGCATATTGGACATGTAGATCACACGGATCCAGAGAACATCTGGTTGGGAGACATTATACATCATTCCTGTAGAAAATGGTACATATTCATTCCTTGCAATCTCCCCCACTGCCGCCAGATGGCAGGAAAGGAGCGTGTCAGAAAGTCATCTTTGTAAGGCGATCAAAGGCTTTACCATGGCCCTCCTGGTTCAGGCCTGCTGTCCTGGCATCATTATGAATAGCACCCTCTTTCACATATTAAAGGGCCCCAATGTGGACAATAAACTATATGACCATTGTAGATTCCAACACAATGCTTTGCTGCCTGCATCTGTTGCATACTCATCACAATGTTTGATCTAGCTAAGACAGAGAGAGGTTTATTTGGAACATGCAATAACGAGGAGTAGAGAGTAAAATCGCGTGGTAAGGCATCTGTCCTTATCTAACCCCTTTGACTGGTAACCAGTCAGAAACTGATGGAACTATTCACAAGTTGCTTGGCTAGATTCTGCTGATAAGAAGGGTTGCTTTGGGCCTAAGTAACAACATCACCTCAGAGATGATGAGGAGACAACTCATGTCCCCACATCTGTGTAAACTCCAACACTGCCCTGGCAGCCTGAGCATTAGTGGTTCTAACAGCACCAAGGAAACGTCCCTTGGGACAGGCATGGGCACCCAGTGATGGTGTTTTCATCGAAAGCATTCGTGAGCAGCCCAGCTGGCTTGACTCAGTGATTGAATGTCGACCTATAAACTAGGGGGTCATAGTTCAATTGCCCAGGTTGCGGGCTTGATCCCCAGTGTGGTATGTGCAAGAGGCAAATGATGCTCTCTCATCATTGATGTTTCTATCTCTCTCTCCCTCTCCCGTCCTCTCTGAAACCAATAAAAATATATTGTTCTAAAAAAGCATTCATGAGAATTTTGAGTATTTCCAGGAGAGATAACTGTGCTGACTCCAAGCGATGTTGGCAGCTGCATTTTGATTGAGTATATATTTGGAGAAGCCTGCTGAATTCCTCCCAAAATAATGAGAGCTTTTTAGGGAGGCCTTGGGATCCTGCTATTAATAAGGCAAGGCCTTGAGCCATTACTTGGACACTAAAGGTTGACAGATCTTATTTATTACTCAAAGCCTAGCGGGTTCTAGATGTATAGGTTGCATCTCCTCTGAGAGCCTGTAAATTCTAATAGGGTGCCTTTTTTTTCTTTGAATCTTCTTTTCACTATGCCTTCTTTTCACATAATGTTTATTCAATGTCACAGGGTAGGAAAGATAAAGGAAGGAAGACCTCTCAAACATCAGTAACCCATCATGATTAAAGAGAATAATACAGGAAGACAAATAGTATCTAGGGACACAAGGTGAGAGGGAGAGGTTGAATTTTGTTAATGTTTGTTCTTTAAAACAGGTACTTATATTAAAAATGCAGCCCTGGCTAGTGTTTCTCAGTGGTTAGAGCATCAGCTCACGAAACAAAGGGTTTTGGGTTTGATTCCCGGTCAAGGGCAGGTACCTCAGTTGCAGGTTCATCCCTGGCCCCGGTCGTGATGCATGTGGGAGGCAACCAATCAATGTCTCTCTTACATTGATGTTTCTCTCTTTTTCTCCCTCCCTTCCACTCTCTTTAAAAATCAATGGAAAAAAATATACTCAGGTGAGGATAAACAAAAAAAATGCAAATAGAATAACAAGAGATGAGAGAAATAAATTATAAGCCATAAAATAAAGTTCCTCAAGATGCTTGAAATGACTGAGGTGAAGGAGGAAAGAAGGAAACTGAGTCTGATTTTCCCCCAGTTACCCTGGTCTCCACTTTCCTGGGAACCTAGATATCACATCTGGTCACTACCTCTGCTCAGCAACAGAAAATGGAAAGATAACATGAGCCAATGAAATGAAAATAAAGAAACAGAAGATAAGAAAAAAATGGGGAGGGATACGGTAAAAATTAATCATTCCTAAACTAAGGACCAATAATGAAGGTACTGTACTCCTCTCTCTTGGATTTCCCTGCATAGTAATACATACTAAGCCAGGATGTTTGTATAGTTCAGGCAAAAGGATGTCCCATTCAACTGATGTGCAAGATCACCTCCAGAGACAATAGGATCCATTAGAAATGGTGATGTCACAGGAAGACCCGCCTCATGGGAGGCAGCTATGAGGTCTAGCTCCCTGAGCAGCTGCAGGAAGCACCCTTCTTTGCACTGCCCAGGGACTCCCCTCATGCCCAACTCAGCCATGGGCACCATACTCCCCTGCTGGGTGATCGTCTGGCTCCTGGGGGCAGGTGAGTTCTGGGTAACGGGTCAGCATCAGTGGCCTTTGACAGTGGCTCTTTAGCTGTGCCTCAAATATGCTCTGACCTCCGTGTTGCCCAAAGATTTCCTGAAAGGTATTGCCATTTCTATAGAACAAATAATTGCATTATGGAGCAAAAAGCAAAATTCATGTGAATTTTTAAATGAACGCAGGCAACTTCAAAGCTATTTGCACTCGCCTTGGGGTTGCTTCATTGTAAGCTACAAACTTCCTCTGCCCTCAGGACTTTGTCTCATGCCATCTCTTCTCCTCTGAGGTCCCACGAGTGCCAGCAGCGTCATCCAGAATCCAAGACGCCTGGTCCTGGGGAGAGGACAGGAGGCAAACCTGAGTTGCAACCCAGTGAAAGGCCACATTTACATCTACTGGTATCGGCAGCTCCTGCAGGAAGGGCTGAAATTTATGATTTACCTCCGGAGAGAAGAAATCCTGGACGACTCAGGAATGCCAACAAAACGCTTTTCGGCTGAATTTCCCAAAGAGGGGCCCAGCCTCTTTAACATCCAGCTGGCAGAGCTGGGCGACTCCGCAGTGTATTTCTGTGCTAGCTCCTTGTCCACACCAATTCAGAGTCACATCCTCCCAGGGCACAAACTCCTCCAGGCCCCGCCCTGACACAGCCCCAGCTGAGGGTGGGGAGAAGGCCACAGCTGAGGAAGGGACCTGGCATCTGACTAGTGCATGAATTACCTGTGAGGCATTTTTTCGGGGTGAGGGTGGGAATAGAGGAGGAACCCCCTAGAAATAGCAAGGAACCCCGCAGCCCATATTCATGAACTAAGACTGTCATCCGCAAAAGGTGACATAATTTGTTAGATTAAATATTTATTGACTAACAGTTCTCCTTTCTTTACTTCCTACTCTATTTCAAGTTCTCCATTGCATGATTTAGATATTGAATTTTAGTGAAAAAGCAAAATAATCAAGCAAAGGAAATGTGGTCTTTATTTTCAATATGAGAAAACATGGTTCCAGGGTTGTTGTTGTTTTTCTGGAAGTGGGAGAGAGGGAGAGAGAGAGGG